TCATTTTAGGAACTTATTGCGCACTCGGCATGGAATGTCGCGACGAAGAATGCGTCCCCGTTATCGAGCCGCCATACAATTTCAGGGATTGTGAAGATGACAACTGGAGTGAATGGAAGGAAGACGCCTGTAAAAACTCCTATTGCTTGGAAGGATCCAAAGGCGTACGAGACAAACGACGTTTTGCAAACATCAGAATGACACAACAGCGAATTGCATTGGACCATATTACGACGTGGTTTTGTGCGATGCTTCTTCACTATGTAGTGGAAAACGCAAGACGGTTGCCGAATTTGCTGCCACCAAATGCGACGAATTCAGCCGTATCATGTCTGAACTGGAACTGAAACGGGGTTGGCAGCTATCTCATGCAGTGAATAAACCGTGGATAGCCTGTACTATATATTGTGCACGAAAGAACTTTTCTACATATTTTGCGTTTCGCAAGGAATTGCTCAACTTTGGTATCGATCCATATTTTCCCGATGGAACGTTGTGTCACATAGAAGGTGACCAGGATTATTATTGCCGCTTTCATCATTGTCTGCCTGAAAACTACTCATTGGAAGAAAATTGGGGGAAACATTATCTACGTGTGTAAATGAGTATCCAGAGAGACGGAAATTGCAAAACGCGCGTAAGTCTATTTAATTCGGTTTTTAATTTGTTTTGTACTAGATTATTCGTTATTCATCTGCATACAAAAATAATTTTGATTTCTTAATTATATAGGGTATTTTGAATGAACGTAAAGGTTTTGACAGAGCTTTAGAAGTTGATATAAGAATGAACAAAATTATTTTATTATATTAGACACATTAGCGCGTTTAGCGAATGTCTTTTTTTTTTTATTACATAGAAATATATATTATAACTATCTTTAATAAAAATAATGGCATAATTTTATCATTACTTTGTGACGTGCCGATCGATCCGTTTCTCCTTTTCCTCATTTAGATTTTGTAGATTTTATTATAAATATAACTTTTTAATATACTTTATCTAAATATATTTGCGTATGATTACAATGTGTTTTCAATTTGATCCACAATTATTATATAAAGTTTTATTTATGTTCGCATTTCTGTTGCTTTTTTATTATTGACAAAATGTACGTTTTTACGAATTTTTCTGATTAATAACAATCATTAAATTAAATATAATAAATAGCAAATTTTGAATTGCATTTTAATCTATTGCATTTTGTCTTTAGATCTTATTTCATTTTTGATTTCGCGAAAATAAATAGTGCGCGCAATAATATGTTCTACTCACTTTAAAAAAGATTTAATTATCGTGAATTGCAACTTGACATTTGTGAATAAGTAAAATGTTTGCGAATAATATTACATATTCTACATAGAAAATTGCATTTTTACAATTCCACTATTATCGTAAGTATCACTTTTCATACATACGACATACAATGAAAATAATATACAAGTGTAAGCATAGAGGATATATACAATACATTGTCACATGATATTACTAAACCCAAATAACAGTACGTGTTTTATAAGCAATGATCTAAAGTGTAACAAATATAAGGGACATATAACGTATAGTAGAGTTAAAAAATTTGAATACATAAAAGTAGTTTCAGAAAATCTTTTAAAATATTTAAAATTGATACAAGCAAATAAAACATGCTTCTGATATTGGAATTCATATTAATAACTTTATTAAATGAAACAAACGCATATATCACGCAATATAGTAAAATAATATTGCTGCCGGCATGGAACCCGACAGGCACGGAGGAGGTACGCTTTTTTTATTATAATGTTTCACTTGTTGCTTTCGTCCTAAGCAATATATGAGAATTCTCAAGTATTTTTTAATTGTGTTCCAATTTGCAGATACAATTAATCGTAAAAGTTTTTGGAAAATTAATTCAGCTAAATCTGCATAAAAACCACCAAATTATATCGCCCAGATTTGAAGAATGGAAATATAATGCAAAGGATGTCACAAAAATGTCGCAGTCAAAAGCATTGGATCCTTGCTTCTTTTTTCATGAGAATCATACCTGTTTTGCTGCCATCAACTTTTGTCACGAAAATGGATTGGTCAGTAATACCATATAAAAAGCAACTGTTTGGAAAATGTTATGTTTAAAATTTTAATCCTTAACTCTCTTTGCTTTATATATAAGCGTTATACGTAAAAGAAAACAAATATATGTTTTTTAAAATAGGAAGGATTCATTTTTGTGGAAAACGATTCATTGGAGATTCGGCCTTTGCAGAACGAGTATGCGCCTTTGTTCTTAATCGATGACTTTTGCGATAAAGAAGATATTAATCTTTCATTTGGGAAACCTCATCTCATTAAAACATTGGTACAATATTTTGATGATTCAAATCTGTATCTTTCGAACAATTTAAATCGCAAACAACGTAACGTACGAAATACGGAACAAAAGTTAACCATAGAACTTGCCGTTTTTTTCGACGAAGCAGCATATCGCACATTTATGCCTCTTCTAGACAACGATGTGGAAAAAATACGCTATATGATATTAGCGCATGTGAATCGTATTCAAGCTGCGTTTCATCATCCCAGTTTGGGTGTCACTATTGATATTTCACTGGTATATTTGGAAATTATGCAAAAACAGCCGTCACAATTGCCAGTTGTCGACGGAGACGCAAAGAACATGCTGGCTTCCTTTTGCAATTACTCGAATACTCACAATCCTTCGGACCAACGGGATCCACATCACTGGGACATTGGTCTTTACTTAACAGGAATAAATATTTATTTACCACAGAACATGACAGATGTTAGCAAATATGCAAAAAGTAATGAAAGAATTATCAAGGATTATCTCCCTTTGGGGGTGGCTTATCCGTATGCCGTATGCGAAGACGATTTTTCATGCGCGATTGCAGAATTTCGTGATGCATCTGAAATCATTTCTTCGGGTTTAAGATCATCTCTTGCAGATGTTCATGAAATTGGCCATATGTAAGTTTATATAAACGAGTTTCATACATATAAATTAAGTAAAAATTATATTTTATATTAGAATTTGTTTAACCGCAGAGAAAAAATGGTATAATTGATCAAATGTAAATATACATATATGATTAGTCACGAAAAAATCTGATAGCATGTAATATTTTTTATGATCATATAAAATTACATATAGTATTAGATCTTTTTATAACTATATATATATATATATTTATATTTGACCAATTATACCATTTGTTCTCGGACGTTCAGTTTAGAATCAATAATTAAACAAAGTTTTCTAAAAAATTTAATTCTCTAGTTGTTTAGTACATTAATTATAAATACATAATAAAATACCCGAGAATAAATGGTGTAATATAGTCAGATGTAAATATATATAATTAGTTATGAAAAGATCTAATAACATATGTAATTTTATATGATCATATAAAATTCAGATTTTTTCATAACTAATCGTGTATATTTACATCTGGTCAATTATACCATTTTTTCTCGGGCATTTAAAAATTTTTAATTAAATAATACAAAATAAACACTTCTTTAAAATTAATAGTTTATCTATTCAATAGTTTAGGATTGAGACACGATGATTCCATCGTTTTAAAATCGAGAGATAGAAACAAATATATAATGTCACCTACCATATCTAAGTCTCGAAGTCAGGTGGCATGGTCCGAGTACAGTCATGAAACAGTCATGAGACAATTTCTACAAAAATTGCAGAAATCATATTCGTGTCTTCAAGATCATGTCAGCTTCGAAAATGACGCATACATATTCAATAATTTGCGTTATCACAATTTACCCGGAAGAGAATGGACGGCTAAAGCACAATGCGAACTATTTTTGCGCGACAAAAATGCAAACGTTGTCACGTTATATGATATATGTCAAACCTTACAATGTGAAACCCGTCACAAGAATACGTATTATTTCACGGGACCCGCGCTGGCTGGTAGGTTTTTTATTCTGACTAGATACTGTAGCTTTAAATTTATCTGCTTCATTTTCAGGAACTCATTGTGCACTCGGCATGGAATGTCACGGCGGAGAATGCGTTTCCGTTATCGAGCCGCCATACATTTTTAAGTATTGTGAAGACGATAACTGGAGTGAATGGAAAGAAGACTCTTGTAAAAATTCCTATTGCTTGGAAGGATCCAAAGGCGTACGAGACAAACGACGTTTTTGCAAACATCAGAATGACAAAACAGCGAATTGCATTGGACCATATTACGATGTAGTTTTGTGCGATGATTCTTCACTCTGCAGCCAAAAACGCAAGACAATCGCCGAGTTCACTACTATGAAATGCACCGAATTCAGCCATGTCATGTCTGAACTGGAATTGAAGCCAGGATGGCAGGCTCCTCATGAAGTGAATAAACCGTGGATAGCTTGCACTATACACTGTGTACGAAAGGACGTTCCTACTTTTTACGCGCCACGTTGGGAAATGCTCAACTTTGGTAACAACCCGTATTTTCCGGATGGAACGTTGTGTCACAAAACACGCGGCCAAAATTATTATTGCCGGCAGCATCACTGTCTGCCGCAAAACTACTCATTGGAAGAAAATTGGGGGAGACATTATCTACATGTGTGAATCAATTATTCAAAGAAACGAAAATTGCAAAACGTGCGTGAATCTTTTTAGGACGGTTTACAATTCGTTTAATACTTTATTCGTTACTTGTCTTCGTACAAAAATAATTTTGGCCTTTTTAAATGTTTCAGATATATTAAGTAAAGGTAAAGGTTTTGATAAGATCTTTATGATAGAAAAATGGACTGAATTATTTTATTATATGTACTAGATACATAACCACGTGTTACGCGCGCCAATTATTTGTTTAATTACAAAAAAATATCTATTGTAAATATCTTTAATAAAAATAATGGCATAATATCACCATTACTTTGTGACGCGCCGATCTATGCGCTCCTCCTTTTTTAATTTAGATTTCGTAAATTTTGTAGAATATAAATCTTTATCTTGACCTGTTTATGATTGCGATATGTTTTCAGCTTAACGCACTACTATTATGTAACGTTGTATAAATGTTTGCATTTTTTTACTTTATTATTAACGTTTATTTCGTGTATTTTCTTTTCTATGATTCATAACAATCATTAAACTAAGTATGATAAATCGTAAATTTTGAGTTGTATTTAAATCAATTGTATTTGTCTTTATAACTTGGTTCATATTTGGACACGTGCAAACACATAGTGCGCGCAAACAAATGTTTTGGTCTTTCTTAAAAAATTAAACTCTTATTAATTGAAACTTGACATTTGCAAATAAATAAAATGCATGCAAAGCAGCATGTATACTTTTGAAAACTTTAAACCCAACATCATTATGAAGCATCAAAAGAACAAGTCTATTTTAGTTAATCAAATTCATACGCATGTTCTTTTTTTTTAAGTCTATTGAAAATAAAAGTCGACATGCATTACATGATGCAAAATAGCAAAAATTAATAAACAATTACCCATACAAATTTTTCAGCGGCCTTTAGTTTTTATATTATAAATTTAATATTTAAAAGTATTTTATTATGCAACTATAACTATTTTTTATATTGTTATTTGTGAGGAGTAAAATTTTAAAATGAGGCCCCAGCTTGCGTCTAATGCGCCTTATGATAGATGCGGCCGTGAATGCACGTGTATGATATTACACATTCTGCAAAGAAAGTTGCATTTTCTAAAATTCCACCGCCATAGCAAGTATCAAATTTCAAACATATGATACAGAATTGAAAGAAATATACACACACACATATGTAAGCATAAAGGACACAAACACTATAATGTCACATAATATTCCTAAACCCAGATGAGAGTACGTGTTTCATACGCGATGATCTAAAGTGTAACAAATATAAGAGACATATAACGTATGGTAAAATTAAAAATTTTTAATACATAAAAGTAGTTTCAGAAAATCTTTTAAAATATTTAAAATTGATACAAGCAAATAAAACATGCTTCTGATATTGGAGTTTATATTAATAATTATGTTAAATGAAACGCACGCATACATCACGCAAGATAGTGAATTAATATTACTGCCGGCATGGAAACCGACAGGCGCGGAAAAGGTACGGTTGTTTTACTGTGAATTTCACTTGCTACTTAACGTCCAAAGCGATATTTGAAAATTCTTATGTATTTTTTAATTACGTTACAATTTGCAGATACCATTAATCCTAAAAGCTTTCGGAAAATTAATTCAGCTGAATTTGCGTAAAAACAACCAGATTGTATCACCCGCGTTTGAAGAGTGGAAATATAATGCAAAGGGCGTCACAAATATATCGCAGTTAAAAACATTGGATCCTTGTTTCTATATTCACGAGAATCATGTCAGTTCTGCTGTCATCAACTTTTGTCATCAAAATGGATTGGTCAGTAGTATCGAATAAATAAACGATTGTTTAAAAAATGTTTTGTTTATTATTTCAATCTTTATGTCTTTTTTGCGTTATATATTATCAAGACGTAAAAAAACAAATATATGATTTTTAAAGTAGGAAGGAATTATTTTTGTGGAAAACGATTCATTGAAGATTCGGCCTTTGCGGAGCGAGTTTGCATCTTTGTTCTTAATTGACAACTTATGCGTTAAAAAAGATATTAATCTTTCATTTGGGAAACCTCATCTTATTAAAACATCGGTACAATATTTTGATGATTCAAATCTGTATCCTTCGAACAATTTAAATCAGAAACAACGTAACGTACGAAATACGAAACAAAAGTTAACCATAGAACTTGCCGTTTTCTTCGACGAAGCAGCATATCGCACATTTATGCCTCTTCTGGACAACGATGTGGAAAAAATACGCTGTATGATATTAGCGTATGTGAATCGTATCCAGGCTGCGTTTCATCATCCCAGTTTGGGTGTCACTATTGATATTTCAGTGGTATACTTGGAAATTATGCAAAAACAGCCGTCACAATTGCCAGTTGTTGATAAAGTTTATACTGATCTGGCTGTTTTGTTCTGTGAATACGCTAATGCTGCCAATTCTCTGGATGATAATAATCCGTATCATTGGGACTTTGGCCTTTACCTAACCGGAATGGATCTATATAAATATTCAAGCATATTGGGGATAAATTATAAGAATTATGATCCTGTTGGAGGATCTTACAATGGCACATGTTCAGAAAATAAAGCATGCGGGATAGCAGAATTCCATGCTGCATCTGAAATCTTATCCTTGGGTATCAAATCATCCATTATTTCTATTCATGAGATTGGCCATTTGTAAGTTTATACAGGGTGTTCCAGACTTACCAAATAACCGGTTGAGACTCCTGACGTTGTTCTGAGACGAAAGTTTCTTTGGCAAAATGTCGAGGGTGTCGTAATTTCGCCGTTATGAAGAGTAAAAGTTCCCCAATCTATGCGCTGAATTTTTTCGCGCTCAGGGACATTGCACATCAAAGGAGCCCCATGCATCGCGCAACGATTGACTCGATCGAGCGCGTTTCTCGCGATTGTTCACGCATTCACTGTTCACTGTTTCACAGTACTTCACAGGAAGAATGGAGTCAGATCCGCCGGAAACCTCGTTGGCCAGTGCACGGGCGCACTCCGCGTACGATTTATCTATCCGTGTATTTCGTGTTTAACGCGCGACGCGTTTTCGCGCACGTGTGTGGCAAGGCTATCATCGCATCACTTTTCGACATTTTTTCTTCGCGACATTGACATTCGTATGACCGACGAAAAAGGACGGACCGATTGCTCACCAAATTGCAAATCACGACACGCGCGATAGAAAATCGATATAAGCGCTGCGAGGTATGACTTACCGCGTCTTACGTCAATACGGAGCAATCGATGTGAGATACGAAATAAGAAATAATTAAATTTTTATTAAAATCTAAATTTTATTTTTGTTTAAGAAAACGTCGTATCTTATATCGATTGCTCCGCATCGACGTAAGACGCGGTAGGTTATACCTCGCAGCGCTCATATCGATTATCTATCGCGGGAGCACGCGGCGCTTCGTGCTAGTGTTTGACAGTTCCGCGCGCGTGTCGTGATTTCGTGCAATTTGGTGAGCGATCGGTCCGTCTTTTTTCGTCAGTCATACGAATCGTCATCAACAATTGCGAGAAACGCGCTCGATCGAGTCAATCGTTGCACGATGCACAGGACTCCTTTGATGTGCAATGTCCCTGAGCGCGGGAAAATTCAGCGCATAGATTGGGGAACTATTACCCTTCATAACGCCAAAATTACGACACCCTCGACATTTTGCCAAAGAAACTTTCGTCTCAGAACAACGTCAGGAGTTTCAACCGGTTATTCGGTAAGTCTGGAACACCCTGTATATACTGTATCTAAACGTACAAATAAAATAAAAATTAGATTTTGCATTACAAATTATTTAATTGTATTAATTGAAAATAAAGAAGTTTTTCTAAGAAATTTAATTCTTTAATTGTTAAGTACGTTAATTATGAATAAATTAGAAAATATATAAAAATATATTAATTAGATAATACAATGTTAAACACATTTTCGAAATTAAAAATTAATAGTTTTATTGTACAATTCCAGTTTAGGATTGACACATGATTTGAGTTCAGATCCAGGAGGCAGATACAAATACATCATGTCAGAATACGCAACCAATGAAGTTCAAACAGTATGGTCTGAGAGAAGTCGTAAAGAAATAAAAAATCTCTGGAAAATAGCCTATTGTCTTCGAGATCACGTGAGATCCGAAAATCTCAATGACGCATATGTATTTGATAATTTGATTCGTTACAATTTACCCGGAAGAGAATGGACTGCCAAAACACAATGTGAAGTATATTTGCGCGACAAGAATGCGAACGTAGTCACGTTATATGATATATGTGAAACTTTACAATGTGAAGTCCCTTACACGAATAGGTATTATTTCACGGGACCCGCGCTGGCTGGTAAGTTTTTTATTCTGACTAGATACTGTAACTTTAAATTCATCGACTTTATTTTTAGGAACTCATTGCGCACTCGGCATGGAATGTCGTGACCGAAAATGCGTACCCGTTATCGAACCGCCATACATTTTAAAGCATTGTGAAGACGATAACTGGAGTGAATGGAAAGAAGACTCCTGTACAAAGAACTGTTGTTTGAAAAGATCCAAAGGGGTACGAGACAAACGACGTTTTTGCAAACACCAGAATCGCAAAACAGCAAATTGCATTGGACCATATTACGACGTGGTTTTGTGCGATGCTTCTTCACTATGTAGTGGAAAACGCAAGACGGTTGCCGAATTTGCTGCCACCAAATGCGATGAATTCAGCCGTATCATGTCTGAACTGGAATTGAAATCGGGGTGGCAGGCTCCTCATGAAGTGGATAAACCGTGGATAGCCTGTACAATTCATTGTGCACAAAAGAAGTTTTCTTCTAATTTCGAGCTTCGCAAAGAATTGCTCAACTTTGGTATCGATCCATATTTTCCCGATGGAACGTTGTGTCACAAAGAAGGTGACCAGAATTATTATTGCCGCTTTCATCACTGTCTGCCTGAAAACTACTCATTGGAAAAAAATTGGGGGAAACATTATCTACGTGTGTAAATGAATATCCAGAAAAACAGAAATTGCAAAATGCGCTTGAGTCAATTTAGAACTTTTTCAATTTGTTTTGTACCTCACAATCCGTTAGTTTTATCCGTTACTCTTATCCGTTACACTCATCCGTTACTTTTTTGCGAACAAAAATAATCTAGTCTTTGTTAATAAAATATATTCAGGATATATTGAGTATATGTAAGAGAGTTTGGTTGAGTTTCATGATAAAAAAATTTATTAAATTATTTTGTTATACTGGACAAACGAGGGCGTGCTACTTGCGGAACTTATTTTTTTTATGAAAAAAATAAATATTGTAATTATAAAACTGAAAAAATGTTTTACTATCACTATTGTTTTTTGACGTCCTAAGCCATTTTCTCTTTTTTTTTTCTTATTTAAATTTCATAGATTTCGTAGAATAAGAAACTGTAACTTTACCAATTTATGATTTCAATATGTTTTCAGCTTGACTCACAATAATTATGTAACGTTGTATATGTGTCCGCATTTCTTTTATTCTATTTTTAATGTAAGGACAATAATTTCGTGTATTTTTATTTCTATGATTTGTAATAATTTTTAAAAGAAATATGATAAATCGTAAATTTTGAGTTGTATTTTAATCAATTGTATTTTGTCTTTAAATGTTGTTTCATATTTGAACACACGCAGATAGATAGTGCGCGCAAATAAATGTTCTAGTCATTCTTAAAAAATTAAACTCTTATCAATTAAAACTTGACATTTGCTAATAAATAAAATGCATATGTATAATATCACGCATTTTATATAAAATGTTGCATTTTCTTAAATTTCACCGTTATCGCAAGTATCACATTTTAAACATATGATACAGAATCGAAAGAAATATACACACACACACGAATGTAAGCATAAAAAGCATATACAATACAATGTCACATGATATTTGAAAACTCAGATTACAGTACGTGTTTCATACGCAATGATCGAAGGTGTAACAAATGTTAGAGACTTATAACGTATAGCATATTAAAAAATTTTTAACACATAAAAGTAGCATAAAAAATTAATTTTAAATATTTAAAATTAAAACAATCAAATAAAACATGCTTCTGATATTGGAATTCATTTTAATAATTTTATTAAATGAAACGAACGCATATATCACGCAAGATAGTGAAATAATATTGCTGCCGGCATGGAACCCGTCAGGCGGAAAGGAGGTACGTTTGTTTCACTGTAACGTTTTACTTGCTGGTTAATGCCCAAAGCGATATATGTGAATTCTCAAGTATTTTTTAATTGTGTTCCAATTGGCAGATACCATTAACCCTAAAAGCTTTTGGAAAATTGATTCAGCTGAAACTGTATAAAAACGACCAGATTGTATCACCCGCGTTTGAAGAGTGGAAATATAATGCAAAAAACGTCACAAAAATGTCGCAGTTAAAAGCATTGGATCCTTGCTTCTTTTTTCATGAGAATCATACTTGTTTTGCTGTCATCAACTTTTGTCACGAAAATGGATTGGTCAGTATTACTATATAAAAAGCAACTGTTTGGAAAATGTTATGTTTTCAATTTTAATTCTTAACTCTCTTTGCTTTATATATAAGCATTATACGTAATAGAAAACATGTTTTTTAAAATAGGAAGGACTTATTTTTGTGGAAAACGATTTATTGGAGATTCGGCCTTTGCGGAGCGAGTTTGCGCCTTTGTCCTTAATTGACAACTTATGCGTTAAAAAAGATATTAATCTTTCATTTGGGAAACCTCATCTTATTAAAACATCGGTACAATATTTTGATGATTCAAATCTGTATCTTTCAAACAATTTAAATCGGAAACGACGTAACGTACAAAATACGGAACAAAAGTTAACAATAAAACTTGCCGTTTTTTTCGACGAAGCAGCATATCGCACATTTATGCCTCTTCTGGACAACGATGTGGAAAAAATACGCTGTATGATATTAGCGCATGTGAATCGTATCCAGGCTGCGTTTCATCATCCTAGTTTAGGTGTCACTATTGATATTTCAGTGGTATACTTGGAAATTATGCAAAAACAGCCATCACAATTGCCAGTTGTTGATATGGTTTATACCGATCTGGCTGTTTTGTTCTGCAAATACGCAAAAGCTGCCAATTCTCGGGATGATAATGATCCGTATCATTGGGACTTTGGCCTTTACCTAACCGGAATGGATCTATATAAATATTCAAGCATATTGGGGATAAATTATAAGAATTATGATCCTGCTGGAGGATCTTACTATGGCATATGTTCACAAAATAGAGCATGCGGGATAGCAGAATTCCATGCTGCATCTGAAATCTTATCCTTGGGTATCAAATCATCTATTATTTCGGTTCATGAGATTGGCCATTTGTAAGTGTATACATATATACTGTATCTAAACGTACAAATAAAATAAAAATTAGATTTTACTGTATAAATTATTTAATTGTATTAATTGAAAACAAATAATAAAATTTTTCTAAGAAATTTAATTCTTTAATTGTTAAGTACGTTAATTATGAATAAATAAGAAAATATATAAAAATATATTAATTAGATAATACAAAGTAAAACACATTTTCAAGATTAAAAATTAATAGTTTTATTGTACAATTCCAGTTTAGGATTGACACATGATTTGAGTTCAGATCCAGGAGACGGATACAAATACATCATGTCAGAATACGCAACTAATGAAATTCAAACAGTATGGTCTGAGAGAAGTCGTAACGAAATAAAAAATCTCTGGAAAATAGCTTTTTGTCTTCGAGATCATGTGAGATCCGAAAACCTCAATGACGCATATGTATTTGATAATTTGATTCGTTACAATTTACCCGGAAGAGAATGGACTGCCAAAACACAATGTGAAGTATATTTGCGCGACAAGAATGCGAACGTAGTCACGTTATATGATATATGTGAAACTTTACAATGTGAAGTCTTTCACACGAATAGGTATTATTTCACGGGACCCGCGCTGGCTGGTAAGTTTTTTATTCTGACTAGATACTGTAGCTTTAAATTCATCGACTTTATTTTTAGGAACTTATTGCGCATTCGGCATGGAATGTCGCGGCGAAGAATGCGTCTCCCTTATCGAACCGCCATACAATTTCAGGGATTGTGAAGATGACGACTGGAGTGAATGGAAAGAAGACTCCTGTAAAAACTTCTATTGCTTGAAAGGATCCAAAGGCGTACGGAACAAACGACGTTTTTGCAAACATCAAAATGACATAACAGCAAATTGCATTGGACCATATTACGACGTGGTTTTGTGCGATGCTTCTTTATTATGTAGTGGAAAACACAAGACGGTTGCCGAATTTGCTGCCACCAAATGCGACGAATTCAGCCGTATCATGTCGGAACTGAAATTGAAACTGGGGTGGCAGGCTCCTCATAAAATGGATAAACCGTGGATAGCCTGTATAATTCATTGTGTACAAAAGAACTTTTCTTCTCATTTTGCGCTTCGCAAAGAATTGCTCAACTTTGGTATCGATCCATATTTTCCCGATGGAACGTGGTGTCACAAAGAAGGTGACCAGGATTATTATTGCCGCTTTCATCACTGTCTGCCTGAAAATTACTCATTGGAAGAAAATTGGGGAAGACATTATCTACATGTGTGAATGAGTATCCAGAGAAACGGAAATGCAAAACGCGCTTAAATCAATTTAGAACTTTTTTAATTTGTTTTGTATTTCACATTATCCGTTACACTTTTGCAGACAAAAATAATTTAGTATTTTTTAATTATTATATTCAGAATATATTGAGTATATGTAAGAAAGTTTGGTTGAGTTTTATGATAGAAAAATTTATTAAATTATTTTGTCATACTAGACAGATGAGCGCGTGCTACTTGCGGAACTTATTTTTTTTTATGACAAAGAAATAAATATTGCAATTATATAACAGAAATAATGATTTATTATCACCATTGCGTAATGAGTTAAGCCGTCCTCTCTTTTTTCTTTTTATTTAGATTTCATAAATTTTGTAAAATGAAAATTTGTATCTTCACCTATTTATGATTGCGATATGTTTTCAGCTTGACTCACAATAATTTTGTAACGTTGTATAAATGTCCGCATTTCTTTTATTCCATTTTTAATGCAAGGACAATAATTTCGTGTATGTTTATTTTTATGATTTGTAACAGTCTTTAAAATAAATGTGATAAATCGTAAATTTTGAGTTGTATTTAAATCAATTGTATTCGTCTTTATAATTTGGTTCATATTTGGACACGTAAAAACACAGTGCGCGCATATAAATGTTTTGGTCTTTCTTAAAAAATTAAATTCTTATGAATTGAAACTTGACATTTGGAAATAAATAAAATGCATGCAAAGCAGCATTTATGCGCAACATCATTATGAAGCATCAAAAGAACAAGTCTATTTCAGTTAATCAAATTCATACGCATGTTCTTTTTCTTTAAGTCTATTGAAAATAAAAATCGACATGCATTACATGATGCAAAATAGTAAAAATTAATAAACAATTACCCATACAAATTTTACTTCTAGTTTTTATATTATAAATTTAATATTTAAAAGTATTTTATTATGTAACTATAACTATATAGGCTATTTTTTATATTGTCATTCGTGAAAAGTAAAATTTTAAAATGAGACCCCAGCTTGCGTCTAATGCGCCTTATGATAGATGCGGCCGTAAATGCACTTATATGATGTCACACATTCTGCAAAGAAAGTTGCATTTTCTAAAATTCCACCGCCATAGCAAGTATCAAATTTTAGACATATAATACAGAATTGAAAGAAATATATACACACATATATGTAAGCATAGAGGACACAAACACTTTAATGTCACATGATATTCCTAAACCCAGATGACAGTACGTGTTTCATACGCGATGATCTAAAGTGTAACAATTATAAGAGACCTAAAACGTATGGTAAAGTTAAATATTTTTAATACATAAAAGTAGTTTCAGAAAATCTTTTAAAATATTAAAAATCGATACAAGCAAATAAAACATGCTTCTGATATTGGAGTTTATATTAATAATTATGTTAAATAAAACAAACGCATACATCACGCAAGATAGTGAAATAATATTGCTGCCGGTATGGAACCCGACAGACGCGGAGGAGGTACGCTTGTTCTACTGTAAATTTCACTTCTTGCTTAATGCGAAAACGATATTTAAGTATTCACAAGTTTTTTTTAATTGCCATTCAATTTGCAGATACCATTAACCCTGAAAGTTTTTGGAAAATTGATTCAGCTAAATCTGCGTAAAAACGATAAAATTGTATCGCCCACGTTTGAAGAATGGAAATATAATACAAAAAGCATCAAAAAAATGTCGCAGTTAAAAGCATTAGATTCTTGCTTCTATATTCACGAGGATCATGTCAGTTCTGCTGCCATCAACTTTTGTCATGAAAATGGATTGGTCAGTAGTATCGAATGAATAAACAACTGTTTGGAAAATGTTTTGTTTATTGTTTTAATCTTTACGTGTTTTTGCGTTATATATAATCAAGACACTTAAAAAAACAAATATATGTTTTTTAAAATAGGAGGGACTCATTTTTGTGGAGAATGATACATTGGAAATTCGGCCTTTGAGGAGCGAGTTGGCGCCGTTGTCCTTAATCGACGACTATTGCGTTAAAGGAGAAATTAATCTTTCATTTGGCAAACCTCATCTTATTAAAACATCGGTACAATATTTTGATAATTCAAATCTGTATCTTCTGAACAATTTAAAACGGAAACGACGTGACGCACGTATTGCAGAACGAAAGTTAACCATAGAACTTGCCGTTTTCTTCGACGAAGCAGCATATCGCACATTCATGCCTCTTCTGGACAACGATGTGGACAAAATACGCTATATGATATTAGCGTATGTGAATCGTATCCAGGCTGCGTTCCATCTTCCCAGTTTAGGTGTCGCTATTGATATTTCACTGGTACACTTGGAAATTATGCAAAAACAGCCGTCACAATTGCCAGTTGTCAACAGAGACGCACAGAACATTCTGGCTTCGTTCTGCAAATACTCAAAAACTCACAATCCTTCGTACGATCGGGATCCGCATCACTGGGATGTTGCTCTTTACTTAACAGGATTAAATCTTTATAGACTAGAGACCATGAAAATTGTTAGCAATTATTCAAAGAGTAATGAAAAAATTATCAAGAATTATCAGCCTTTAGGAGTAAGCAAACCGTATGCCATATGCAAAACTTTTTCATGCGCGATTGCAGAATTCCGTGATACTAAAATCACTTCTTCGGGTTTAAGATCATCTCTTGTAGCTGTTCATGAGATTAGCCATGTGTAAGTTTATATAAACTAGTTTTATACATATAAATAAAGTAAATATTATATTTATAATAGAATTTATTTAACCGTACGGTTTAGTATCAACAAGTAAAGAATCTTTTCTAAAAAATTTGATTCTTTAGTTGTTTAGTACATTATTTATAAATATTTAACAAAATATTTAAAAATATTTTTTATTAAATAATGCAAAATAAACACAATTTCGAAATTAATAATTTATTTATTCAATAGTTTAGGATTGCAACACGATAATTCTTTTGTTTCAAAATCGAAAGACAGAAACAAATTTTATATAATGACAACTAACGTGTCCAAGTCTCAATCTCAGGTGATATGGTCCGAGCACAGTTATAAAACGGTCATGAGTATATTTTTACTAAGATTTAAGGAATCATTTTCGTGTCTTCGAGATCATGTTAGCCCCACAAATTCGGCATATGTATTCAATAATTTGCATTATCACAATTTACCCGGAAGAGAATGGACGGCCAAAGCGCAATGCGAACTATTTTTGCGCGACAAAAATGCAAACGTTGTCACGTTATATGATATATGTCAAACCTTACAATGTGAAATCCGTCACAAGAATACGTATTATTTCACGGGACCCGCGCTGGCTGGTAAGTTTTTTATTCTGACTAGATACTGTACCTTTAAATTTATTGACTTCATTTTTAGGAACTCATTGCGCACTCGGCATGGAATGTTGCGGCGAAAAATGCATCCCCGTTATCGAGCCGCCATACATTTTCAAGTATTGTGAAGATGACAACTGGAGTGAATGGAAAGAAGACTCCTGTAAGAACTCCTATTGCTTGGAAGGATCCAAAGGCGTACGAAACAAACGACGTTTTTGCAAACATCAGAATGACATAACAGCGAACTGCATTGGACCATATTACGACGTGGTTTTGTGCGATGATTCTTCACTTTGCAGCCAAAAACGCAAGACAATCGCCGAGTTCACTACTATGAAATGCACCGAATTCAGCCGTATCATGTCTGAACTGGAATTGAAGCCGGGATGGCAGGCTCCTCATAAAATGGATAAACCGTGGATAGCTTGCACTATACACTGTGTACGAAAGAAATTTTCTACTTTTTACGCGCCACGCTGGGAAATGCTCAACTTTGGTAACAACCCGTATTTTCCGGATGGAACGTTGTGTCACAAAACACGCGACCAAAATTATTATTGCCGCTTTCATCATTGTCTGCCTGAAAACTACTCATTGAAAGAAAATTGGGGGAGACATTATCTACATGTGTGAATGAGTATCCAGAGAAACGGAAATTGCAAAACGCGCATGAGTCAATTTGAAACATTTTTCAATTTGTTTTGTATCTCACATTATCCGTTACTCTTTTGCGAACAAAAATAATCTAGTTTGTTAATAAAATATATTTAGGATATATTGAGTATATTTAAGAGAGTTTGGTTGGGTTTCGTGATAGAAAAATTAAATTATTTTGTTGTACTGGACAGACGAGTGCGTGCTACTTGCGGCACTTATTTTTTTTATGACAAGAAAATAAATATTGTATATATATAACTGATATAATGTTTTATTATCACCATCACTTTTTGACGTTCTGAGCCTTCCTCTCTTTTTTCTTCTTATTTAAATTTTATAAATGTTGTAGAATAAAAAACTGTATCTATACCTATTTATGATTGCAATATGTTTTTAGCTTGACTCACAATTATTATGTAACTTTTTATAAATGTTTGCATTTTTTTTATTCTATCTTTAATGTAAGGACAATAATTTCGTGTATTTTTATTTCTATAATTTGTAATAATTTTAAAAAAAAATATGATAAATCGTAAATTATGAGTTGTATTTTAATCAATTGTATTTTGTCTTTAAATGTTGTTTTGTATTTGAACACGCGCAGATAGATAGTGCGCGCAAATAAATGTTCTAGTCATTCTTAAAAAATTAAAGTCTTATCAATTAAAACTTGACATTTGCTAATAACTAAAATGCATATGTATAATATCACGCATTTTATATAAAATGTTGCATGTTCTAAAATTTTACTGTTATCGCAAGTATCACATTTCGAACATATGATACAGAATTGAAAGAAATACACACACATACGCACGCACATATGTAAGCATACAGAACATATACAATACGATGTCACATGATGTTCTTAATTCCAGTTGACAGTACGTGTTTCATACGTGATCATCTAAGAACAAATATTCGAAACTTATAACGTATGGTATATTTAAAACTTTTTAATACATAAAAGTGGTTTAAGAAAATCTTTTCAAATATTTGAAATCGAAACAAGGAAATAAAACATGTTTCTGATATTAGAGTTTATATTAATAATTATATTAAATAAAACGAACGCATATATCACGCAAGATAGTGAAATAATATTGCTGCCGTCATGGAACCCGACAGGCGAGAAGGAGGTACGCTTGTTTTTCTGTAATGTTTCACTTGCTACTTAACGTCCAAAGCGATATTTGAGAATTTTCATGTATTTTTGTATTACGTTACAATTTGCAGATACAATTAACCCTGAAGGCTTTTGGAAAATTGGTTCAGTTGAAACTGCGTAAAAACGATCAGATTGTATCGCCCACGTTTGAGGAGTGGAAATATAATGCAAATGGTGTCACAGAAATGTCGCAGTTAAAAGCTTTGGATTTTTGCTTCTATCTTCACAAGGATCATATCGGTTCTGCTGCCATCAACTTTTGTCAAGACAATGGATTGGTCAATAATAACATATGAGAAGCAGCTGTTTGGAAATTGTTATGTTTCCAATTTCAATCTTTATTTTTTTTTATTTCATATACAAGCATGACACGCAAGAAAACAAATATATACTTTTTGAAAGTAGGAAGGACTCATTTTTGTAGAAAACGGTACATTGGAGATTCGGTCTTTGCGGAGCGAGTTTGCACCTTTGTCCTTAATCGACGACTTTTGCGTTAAAGAAGAAATTAATCTTTCGTTTGGCAAACCTCACCTTATTAAAACAGTGCAATATTTTGGTGATTCAAATCTGCATCATTGGAACAATTTTAAACCGAAGCGACGTCAAGTGCGAAATACGCAACAAAAATTAACCATAGATCTTGCCGTTTTCTTCGATGAAGCAGCATATCGTATATTCATGCCTCTTCTGGACAACAATAAGGAAAAAATACGCTATATGATATTAAGTGCATGTAAATCGTATCCAGGCTGTGTTTTATCATCCTAGTTTGGGTGTCACTATTGATGTTTCGTTGGTACATTTGGACATTATGGAGAAACAGCCGGCACAAGTGCCAGTTATTGATAAGAATTATTTACAACTGCTTGTTTCGTTCTGCAAATACGCACATTTTCAGAATCCTCCGAACGATAATGATCCGCATCACTGGGACATTGGTCTTTATTTAACCGGAACAGATATTTATGGCTATACAGAAGTACCACTATTTGGTATTCAGAAGTACCTACAATTGAATAGTGGCCTTAAAGGGGCATCCATTGGCAATGGCGTATGCGACTCACTTGTATCATGCGCGATAGTAGAATTCCATGCGTCTGAAGTCATTTCCTTGGGTTTAAGATCATCTTCTTATGCTGTTCATGAGATTGGACATCTGTAAGTTTATATATACTAGTTTTATACGTATAAATTAAGTAAAAATTAAATTTTGTATTAGAATTTATTTAATCGCGCAGTTTAAAGTAAACAACTAAAGAAAGTTTTCTAAAAAATTTTATTTTTTAATTGATTCTTTAAATACGTTAATTATGAATATATTAAGAAATATGTAAAAATATTTTAATTAAATACTGAAATGTAAAACACATTTCCAAGATTAATAGTCTTATTATTCAATTCAAGTTTAGGATTGGATCACGACACGGGAAGCACATACATCATGTCAGAATACGATAGCACTAAAACTCTGATGGTATGGTCTCCGAAAAGTCGTAACGAAATAAAAGGACTCTGGGAAAGAAAAGAATGTCTTCGAGACCATACGAAACCCGAAAGGCGCGGTGACCCATATCTATTCGATAGCTTGATTCATTATGATTTACCCGGAAGAGAATGGACTGCCAAAGCACAATGTGAAGTATCTTTGCGCGACAAAGATGCGAACGTTGTCACGTTACATGATATATGTAAATATTTACAATGCGAAACCCCTCACAAGAATACATATTATTTCATGGGACCTGCGCTAGCTGGTGGGTTTTTTTATTTTGATTAAATTTTCTATAGCTTTAAATTTATCGAGTTTGTTTTCAGGAACTCATTGCGCTCTTGGCATGGAATGTCGTGACGGAAAATGCGTACCCGTTATCGAACCGCCATACATTTTTAAGTATTGTGAAGACGATAACTGGAGTGAATGGAAGGAAGACTCCTGTAAAAGCAGTTGTATCAAAAAATTCATAGGTGTATTAGTCAAACGACGTTTTTGTAAACATCAGAATCGCAGAACAGCGAATTGCATTGGACCATATTACGATGCATTGGACCAGATTACGAAACGTGGTTCTGTGCGATGATTCTTCACTATGCAGTGGAAAACGCAAGACGATCGCCGAATTTACTGCCATGAAATGCGCCGAATTGAACCGTCTCATGCACGTCTTTAGACTGGAAATGAAACCGGGATTGCAGGCTCGTCATGAAGCCAGTGAGCCGTGGAAAGCCTGTACTATACATTGTGTAATAAAGAATTATCATAATCATTACGCGCCACGCTCAGAAATGCTCAACTATGGTCTCAGTCCATATTTTCCCGATGGAACGTGGTGTCACAAAGAAGATAGTCAAGATTATTATTGCCGCCAGCATCACTGTCTGCCGCATAACTGCTCATTGTAAGAGAATTGGGCGGGACATTATCTACTCACACGGAAGATAAACCTCTAATGGATGTCCACTAGATGTCCATCATGGAGATTTCAAATCTCTATTAGACGTCCATGTAATCTTTTATAGATGTCTACTAGACCAGTGCTCGGAATTATTTCAGCTTTTCGGCCATTTCTCGTGGTATACGCCTCCTTTCCTCTCCTTACCGTGCGCGATAGCCGCTCCTAACGCTCGATGGCGCTGGCCCTTGCGGCTGTCGCGCGCGCGGAAAGGAGAGGAAAGGAGGCGTATACTCCGAGCAGAGAGAAGACTGAGAGTAGACATGCCCGCATTTTACATGTTTCCGTGGGTTAGCGCCTCTATGTGCACAAAACGTGCACATTGAACTACGTAGCCAATGTCCACGAATCCCGTAGGCAATGTTCACGATCTTTTGGGTCTCTTCCGTGCTACGTCCACGACTTTTTGGTTCCGATATGTGCTATATCTACAAAGTGTCGATAATGCATACTTGTAAAACATGATTATGTATATCAATCAGATTTGAAATAATACACACGTATTGTAAATTATTTGCAACATGCAACTGCATACTTTTTTTAAAACCAATGTGTTTTCTTTATACCAATTGATTCGTCTCATTATTTTATGCATAAAAGTATTAAGGTAAAATTCCCAAAAATTGAATGTTTTACAAGATATTTTGTATTTTATGTCAAAATACTGTAATTTACAAGCCTCATAACTCGAAAAGTACTTAATGAAAAATAACTTCATTATAGTGTTTTAAAAAGCTCTTGACACCAGCTATTAGATTTTGGAATAAAAAATAGGGGTTTCCATTTTAAAAAATTACTCTGACCTTCAAATGACCTTCAAGGTCACGGTCAAGGTCAAATCCAAGATCACCATTGAAAAGCCAGAGAAATTTCCTAAAACTTTTGTATTTAACATTTTTTCGTAAAATGCCTTTCTCAAAACTTATTCGGGGGTTTCCATACTTTTGCCTCACCCTGTATATTTTCCACATTATAAGATATTCCTTGGCGCTCAGAGTTTTAATTTTGATAAATAATTTACTACTTTATTTTTTGCCTTCTATTGTATTTTTAAAATTTTTATCTGTAGATTTGTCAACGTAATCCAATATAAAAATTAATTTTACTTGATTAAAATTCCACGTTTTAAAGCTTTTTGAGCGTTTTTCTATTTCGTATTGTAACACAAATAAATAAATATATGAATAAAAATTAAATTAATAAATGCTCACGCAATAGAAATGTCACGAAACACGTCGCTTTGCGTGAAAACGGCTGCCAACGCAATAAATTTCGATTAAATAAATCTTTCGAAATACGCAATTTAATCGATGTACAATGCGAAATTTGTTACACAATTCTTATTTATTGAGATATATAATTTGTATTTTCCATTTTCTATTACCTATTTGAAGTAAATCAATTGCGCAAAATTCCTTCTTTTATGATAGATAGATACTTGATGCTTGAATATTTATTTCTTTGTGAATATTGATTTATATTTAATTAAAATTGAATTGAGGTAATAAAGGATAAAAATTATAAAAAATTAATTTTGATAGTTATAAATTTGTATATAAATGACTCGTTAAACCGTGTATTTTGCAAAATTTATTTCATCGAGATTTATTGTGTGGAAAGTCGGTATTCATACACATACAAAACAGTATTTCTTTTTTAAACATTTTATTTCGAGGATATTTATTTTTAATTTTAACTTATATATTTATTTATATAAAAATATAAGACAACGTAAAACGTCGTAAATGTATTAAAATGCGGTATTTTAATGGAATAAAATCAATTCTCATCTTAGACAAGGCTAACGAGTTTAAAATAACGCTGCAAAAATTGTGATAATAATTTATTTATGAAAGTTTACATATTTATTTATATTTTAATGTTATGATATGACATAAAAAAGTGCTGTCAATGCTGTAAAACGCGAATATATTAATGAATACATTTCATTTTTATGCATAAAACATAGAAAGCGTATTCAAGTAGTTTAGGCGTAGTATAAACGCGACACAGACGACGTACAAAATTAACTATACGACTTTTTATTTCTCTTTGCTATCGTTGATTGTTATCGTGAATCCCGAACGTGCAATTATATTTTCGAGTTGTTTCTTTCATAATAATTAATCAAATTTTTGCCAATATATCGTATTATTATAAAATTTTAACAATGAGAGGAAGAGAAAACATAGTTCAGTTTTTAATTTGTTTTGTATTGATATAGTATACAGTATAAAATAAATGCTAAAGCAATAGTATAAAATAGATAAATGATAAAGATATAGTATAAAATAATAGTATATAGTTAATAAAATTTTATTTATAAATGTATAAAATATATTTAACTATACAACGCAAGAATGTTAGAGCACTAAATACACATTATTATAACCATTTCTTAGTTTATCACGTGTAATGAGAAACGTCACCATTTCCCCATGCTTTGCCATTAGAAATTTTTTTTCGCCATTTTTTTTGTCAGTAGATTTCGATGATAACTTCCTTTCTCGGTTATTACTATGCCATACGCCGTACAAGAAATACAGAACCAAATCTATGATAACACACAAACAGCTCGATATATTTAATTAATTTGTACACAAATACATATATTTGTTTTCTGGTAATACACTTATCAATTGTTATCGATTCGGCAAATATTTCCCATATTTGTTTATCCAACATCGTCATAAGATAAATGTTAACCAGTTGAGTGGTAGACTTTTCCGAAAGATTTGTGTCAAAAGTTAGAATATCGGAAAACGGTGAAACATGGGTTCAAAGTTTTCGAAAAAGCAACTTTTCGGAATGGGTGTGGATTCCCCCCCCCCTGCCCCTGGGGGCGGGGAGCAGAATAGGGGTCTAAAATGTTAAATGGCACTATGGATCGAGTAGGGATTATTTGAAAGGGCGTTTCAAGACAAGAACAATGATTTTTGAAAATGTTTACTACGACTTTCCAGTTAAAAGTGGAGATGGATCAAAAAAGGGGGGAAGACTTCCGAAAAGCTATCACCTCCGATTTGGCTTATATTCAGCCTAAATACTTATTTTATCTAAATACTTATTTTATCTAGTAAATAATATTTCCAAATGGATTTTTGGCGCAAATGCCCCCTCCGCCCCCTAGCCCCCCTCAAAGGTTAAAAAATAAAACTGTTTTTGTTAATTGTTTCAGAAAATATTCATTGTACGAAAAAAGTTGTCAAACAAAAAATGAAGCTCATAAAAAGCTCTACAAATAAATATTTCACCTAACTCTAATATTTTAGTCGTTTTAACAATTAACAATCGCCATATTGGATCCGCCATTTTAAATTTTACAATTTTGACAATAGATTCGAGTTCAGCAGTCCAAAAAACCTTAGGATATCAACTTTTATGTAAATCTGTTGAAAATTAGTGAAGTTATTTAGAAATGTACATATATGATACATTACCACGTTTGGCACTTTTTTTTTGTACATATATGATACATTACCACTCAACTGGTTAATTCAATATAACAATTATATGTATTACAAAATTATATATTTTAATGTGTGTAAAAGATAAAGAAACATTAAATAAAAATAAAAATTATACCTGCAAAATCACACCTAAAAAATAAAAACTTAATTAAAATCTGAAAAATTAAAATATTAAGTTAAAATCTGAAAATAATTATAGATAAAAAATTAAAAGTTTTATGACGCTACATCAAACAGCATGTTAAAAAACTTTCTTAAAAGCATTAACCAGATATACATATACATATCAAATATATAAATATAAAAGATAAAGAAACATTAAATAAAAGTCTGAAAAATCATACCTGACAAATTACACCTAAAAATAAAAGCATTTAATAAAAATCTAAAAAATATTTATTTTGTTTTAGGAAACTATTCTTCATTTTTTCATTGTCATAATATATCATTGTTCGATAACCTAAAACAAATAAATGTGAATATTGTCGAATTGGAAATTTTATTTTGTACATTTATATTCATATTGTACATTTATTGAAGATTCCATTTGCATCGTTTTACATATAAGAGATCGACTACAACGGTAATCGCAATTATGTAAGAAATTGAAAAAAACATTCATATCTCTTAAGTGATAAGTAGATAATCGCAAAAAAATACAAATGAAATTTCCAAATAAACGAAACATTTTTTTATCGAAAAATGAATAGAGGAAAATATATGTAACAATATATAACAAAATAATTTAAAATAGAATTAACAATAATTTGTTTTATATTACCTTTTTATATATTTTCTTATATATATTGCCCTCTTAATTTTTCACTGAAATAATACACAAAATAACATAAAACAAAAATAATATTAAATAAAAGGAAGATGTACCCTCATCATTCCTTTGAACTCGATATTTCAATTATAAAAATTAATATAATAGTTTATTTGCTATCAAGATGTCAATAAAGACGTTTAAACGTTTAAAAGATTTATGGAAAATTTAAAAAATTTTATTTGAAAAGAGCAAAGTATCTTATAAAACTGTAGAAAACTTTCCTATCGTGAAAGTTATTTTCTATATATTTAAACATCTAAACGCCTTACTTTCAATATAATGCTTTATTTGCGCAAGAAACATCTTTCGTTTTTCGAAAGAGAATCTTGCTGTTTGCCCACCCGAAGTTTTATCATTATTTTTGTCATCAATAAACTGCAAACTCACTGTCAAAGCAGAAGTTTCAATATTTATCGATGCACAGAAATAAAAAAATACAAAATTTATGCAAAATTGTTTAATCCTGCCTAACAAAAAATCCTACCTAATAAAACAATTCTATCTAATAGAAAATCCTACCTAATAAAAGATGTAGATATCTGAAAACTCGTGTAAATCAAATAAACCGAGAAACGCGGATAGAGGTAATGATTTAACGATTAACGATTTAATTTATAAGTATCGATTTAATATCACGTTATACGCATTTTCGTGTACGCAAATGACATCTCTCACTTGAGAGAATT